AATCCAACCAGATCCTGACAAGAATAATGTTCATATCGCAAGTTTTCCAAATTCACCACAATTCTTGCCATGACTAGTATCATCCATTTCACCATGGAAAACAGGAGTGACATTGTCAGGTGCATATGTGAGATTGACACACAAGCTGATCGGGAGCGATACAAGCCTTGCTGACATAGTCCCAAGTAAGAGCACACATGAGGACAATGGTAGAAGGCATGCGAAGCTGTTTCTTCTAAGCCAAGTTCACACCAATGACAGTCAGGCAAATCCACCCGCCACATCTATAAGCTATGTCATTGAGAGGTAGCATGTTCAGAATCAATTGCCAGGGAAATGAAAACTTAGGGTTGCCCAAGATCAGAAAGAGCACAACTCTAATGCTGACAATGTGAGCCAGCCACAAACATGGTCCATTGCAACCCCCTCCACTAGATCATGATACAATAGCCTACAAGGCCATGAAATGTCACTGGACCAAGAAATGGCCCTCAAGGCCACCCGACAAATTTCAATGTCTTGTGATGGTGCTCAGCCTCTGAAACAGTGAGAGTGATGGTAAAACACTCCCATCCTAAATCAAGTCCTCTGTCAATGCACAGTGTAGGAAAACCAATCTTGATCCATTCCCAGAGAGGAAGTACAGTTAATCAATAAAGGATAATAGGAAAGATGTAAATGGCACACACCTCAACCCTTTATGTACAACTGCTGTCAAAGCCAAGTCTGGACCGCTGCTCCAACCTTTGACTGTACCTCAGACCAATTCTTCTTCAGCTGGAGACCAAGTACAAATCACACTCCAAGAATGTGGATGGGTCAGTCTGTCCAATTAAAAAGGTCCTGAAAGCACAACCCCCTCACAGACTCCTAACCACAAACTGGATGACTTATTGTAGCTAATTTCGTACTACTCAAGCGCCTTCTGTACCACCACAAAGTTGTTATGGCACAACATGAAAACAGATACGTAATTGACATATGCAGAAACCCTGGCTCAATCTCCACCAGGGACAGCAATTCCACATAGGACCAGACTGCATGCCCTGTCCCTTAGTTGGCAAAGGAGGGGCTCCAACACCAAAGTTTAAAGTAACAGTAGACAACCTTGAATAACCGACCAAGACAGTGCAAAAGCGCTCAACTGCTTTCCATTCACCTGTACCACAGCACTGGGGGAGTTATACAGGCGATTGATCCACTTTCAGAAGTCGAGCTCAAAACTGGCAGCCTGAAGGACAGCAGCCAGGTACTGATGGTCAATCCTGTCGAATGCCTTGGACTGATCCAAATTGATCTGTGTGGGTTAATCGCCATCTTCTGCACCCTCTAGGATGCAGGTTGATTTGAATTGTTCATCCCTTCACAGTGCAAGTCTGCTCAGGTCCCAACAAGCTTGCAGCAAACACTCCATCAGGATCTTGGGCAAAATCTTTAACTCTGTGTTTAGCAGAGTTGTGGCCTGATAATCATCTAAATCCCACCCAACACTATTACCTTTTTCAACAGTATGATCACACCCCTGGAGATCTGATTGTGAATGGACCACTGCCAGAACCAGTTGTTGAACACGACTGTCAAAATGAGAGTCAGCCAAATATCTGCAAAACTCATTGCCATTGAGATCAGGCTTGTTGGTAAACCAGCTCTCAAAATGCCACTGAAATGCCTCCCACATGCCCTTGATTGACCTCAGAGTATGCCCCTCCAAGGTATTGAACTTGCAAATGTATTAACCAGAACCTCAACAGATCTCTTCCTTACACAATTCTGTGCCTATATTCACAGCTTCATTAGACATCCTGTTTAACCTATGTCTAATTATCTGACCCTTGCTAGCCTCATGCTCTGTCTAGCTAGTGCTATTACTAGGAAATCCTCCCAGCCTCAGCCCAGGAAAGACTATCCTCTAGAAACTTCACCATCTTAGCCTTATCTAGAGTGACTCATTGACTATATTCAGTGGTGAAAGACCTAATCTTAAGCTTCTCCCACCACTTATTCCCAAATAACCGCCCCCACTAGTTGCCACTGCACTAATCTAGTCAGTTGTTTCCGGAAGTCCCGAATGTCCAGTAAAAACAAATTCAACTTCCAATGTTCAGCCATTCTAGAGCTAGCACTTAACAGCATCTGGGTACAGACAAGTTTAGGGTTTGAATAGTCTAACCAGTGGAACATGGGACAATCTAGCAAATCTAAATTGGCCCTTGTAATTAACCTTCTGTCCAGATAACTGGATATCCAGGGAGACAGCCACTTTAGAGCTCACATCCACATCTACCACCCAAGATAATCAACCCAGAAGCTGACAAGCCCAAATAATATAAATAAGCCTAAGCTCATCAATCAGACCAACCAAACTACAATTGCCTGATAACCTCCTACTAGCTCCCTACCCACTATCTATCTTTGGGTCCAGGGTGGCATTCTAGTATCCCATTAAGACTAAGCATGATGAATTAACCAGGAATGGCCCCAACTGATGGAAAAAGTTGACACGCTCCATCTGGTTGTTGGGTGCATAAGCTGCAACGACCTGAAACAAACCACTGCTCACTTCAATATTGGCTACGATCAACTGCCCCCTTCACATCAACATGGACAAGGTTCATCCTCACACACAAAGAACATTTTACTAACAAGGAAACACCTCTGGCCAGCTGGTCCCCATAAGCTGAATAGACAAGATAGAACACAAGCATCAACATCGCAAACAAAATGTATCTCCTGAATTGCAGCCAAATCACGAAGCTGGCAGCAGCCTTACCCTGATCTCTCAAGTCCCTCGCATTCAAGCTAGCTAGCTAGCTTGAGGTCATTTAAAACAGATTCCTTAAACACAGACTGGGCGAAAATCTGTGGGAGTCAATACCTAAGTGGATTGTCCCAGACTCCTGGTGCCTAAACTGGACATAATTTGTCCTTCTGTGACAATGCCGGCAATGTTTGTGGGAAAAGTTAACTTGAAGCACTATATAAAGAGTGGAGCAGAACCAGGATCCTCCCAGAGCAAAACTAAGCCAAGTTTCTTTAACTCTGCAGCAGCAACAGAGATCAAAGGAGCAGCAGCAAAAACCGGAGCAGCAGGAGCTTCAGCAACACCAGTAGGAGGAGGTGAACCTATTACAACTAGACTTGTACATGGAGGTGGAGGAAATGCCACCACCTCGTTCCTAGTTACTGAAAAGGGGGAGGGACAAAGAGGAAGAAGAGGACCTGAAGTACACCAAAAGGGAGAGGAAGTCTGGTTGGAATAGGGTGGAGAAGGCCTTGGTAGCTGTCAAGACACAATCCGCACCTACTTCACCAGCAAGAAGTGAAAAAGATGCCTTACAAGTTAAACCAAGGAATCTCCCTTCCTCCCCTTCTAGGGCTATGGCTTCTTCTCCCTCTCCCAACCCTTCCCAAGGAAAGAAAAAAAAGGATGCTTACCCAAAAGGGGAAAAATTTGTTGTCTGAAGGCAGGGAGTTCGACAAGTCAACCCAAACTGCTTGAAACAGCAGATCTGGACTGAGTCCTGTCAAACTGCAAGTCACCATATTTTATTGGCTAAGAAAAATATCCCGGCATGCATTTGTGGACTTCTGTCTATAAAAGGGGAGGGGCAAGTGTTTTGCAGTCATTCCCAAGAGTGTTGAATCATTCCCCACCATGGGAGTTTTGATTTCCTTTTTTGGAATACTTTAAAGTTTGTTGGAAGCCATGTTATCATGAGTGCCATTTTTATTTATGTTTGTCATTGTGGTTTTGCTTGTCATACTTATTGATGTGTATTGTTTTTTTGTGTTGCCACACTCCAGTTTTTTTTTTTTTAACTTATGATGACAATGGCAGAGTTTCCCCAGCAAAAGGCCACCCAAGTGTCTACATTGGCATAGGTGGTAGAATGAGCCCGATTATTACAGCAGTCTGAGGGATGACTATAATTTTTTACATCTCAGGCAATGAGTTGATTGCTGTACCTTCAGTGATGGAGGCCATCACTACAAGGACCATTTCTTTGTTGATGATGGACATCAAATCAAGAAAGTTTATTGCCATCACCAGAGAGATAATGGAAAAGGCCCTCAAGGCCTTGAATATTGCAGCCAAAGTGTTGGTGAGAATCTCTAATGCCATCTGGGTCATCATGCTGGCAACAGAGGAGGTTTGCAAAGGTGTTGGCTGGTAACCTCCTTACCACCAAGTCTCTACAACTTCAAACTGAGTACATGGGCACCTGGAAGACCTGGATTACCTTGTATGGGGTGCCCATGTACATCACTCAGGACCATCTGGTGGTTTTCTCTCTGCCTGAAGGCAGAGAGGAAACCAGACGAGGTTATGCCGAAGGGCAGAGTCACATCTGGGGAAGTAGACAAGCCCAACCATATGTATGCAGGATCTACAGGCAATTTTTGCCCAAGCCTACAGGCTCAGATTCACCCAACATAAAAAAAGGCCTTGTGCTTTCTGGGGAGGCAAGGTAAATAACCTGTCTAAATCTGCCATATCCAGATACACCACTACATTTGCTTGTCTGACCTTGCTTTTGTGTGTAGATGCCAATTCGCAGTTTGTGAAATTTTGCCTTCTTAACTGTTAATTTTCCTTGCATATATTGTTTGCTTGTTATTTCATTTTTTTCCCTGTTCCTTTTTCTTTTTATTGCAAACTTTATTAATTCTGTTTGTTGGACAGTTTTGTTATTTATTTTGCTTTTGACCATGGCTACTAACAGAAATAATTGCTTATATTACTTAATCTTTGAAAAATTAATTGTGCCAAGTAGTCAAACTATTTTACATCAGCATTAATACTGACATTACTAGTTACCTACTAATTATTATTAAAAAGTATACTAAATTCTTATTTCAATTAAAATGAGATGGAATTGTCATACATGTTTTTTTTAAACAATACAAATTTGATATCTACAATGTCTAGGTTGGAATCTATTTAGATTCCATAATGAAGGAAAAAATACTGTTTGAATTAACTAGTTAGCTTTACTTACTTGCCAATTTTTTGCATTCGGTCAGCCTTTGTTCCTTCTACTACAGACATCTGTGGATGAATTTCGGGTTTGAGGGTTTCACTCTTTATGATAGGCTCTGGACAGGATATCTGACGATCCATTATCTTAGCATGGAAGAAGAAATTAAGGCGAGCTCTAAAACAAAGAAAAATTGACTTAATTTCACTTTTGTTACAAATAAATAAAAATAGCTGAAAAAAAATTTTTAATGACTTATTAAAATAAAATTATCATCAACTTGCTGAACAAAAGTTCATATTAGTTATCTGTACCTTTCCTTTGGAAATTGTTTTTTTTTAAATGAGCCACCAAAGGTTTTCCTAACCTTACTGAATTAAAATGACTATTGTAGTGATTACCACTGTTACATATTCATTATGTCTGTATTATATCATAACAGTGATGATATACCAAAAGACCTAAGTAGACCTATTTTTATAACACTGCCTAAGAAGCCAGGTACAAACAAATGTGAACTACATCAATCAGCCTAATGACCTATATAAAAAACTTATCTGAATTAAACATCCAGTTCAAACAGTATTTTTTTCCTGAAAATATCAGAATTAGAACAAGAACAGTATGTGTTCATTAAAGACATTGGAACAAGGAATGCAATATGTAGGATAGGTATCTTTGTTTTTCCACCTCTTCACAACTATGTACATATTCTGAAATTGATCAATACACACTGTTAAAACTTTAATCCTTGTTAGTTCTTTCCTTTGTAATTATATGTTTTAACACTACCATTACTTTTACATACTGTTATCCTTTGACACTTTTTGCAAATTAGTTCATTATTGAGTATTAAATCTCAAATTTCTGATAGCAATGACTTCCTCTACCACTACTTAAATACTTATGCATGGCTCAAGAGGATAGAAAGTTGGTTGTAAGTACAAACTGAGCAGTTCATTATGTTCCGATGTCCATGTGCAATTTGAATTTAATAAAACTCAATAATTAAAAAGTTTTTTATTCAATTCTTTTCAATGCAATCAACAGTTATGACATCTGCCAAGGAGTAAAACCCAACTTCAGTGAAGTCACCTAATAGAAATTTAATAGAATCTAGATGGCCATGAGAAAGAGTTTCTGGAGATGTTATTAAGCTCTTACCCTCAGCTACTAAAAACTAGATATATGCTAGTTCATGTATGCACATATAGTTGCTTTCTATTTGCTTTTTTTATTAAAAAAATAGCTAATCAATCATCTAGAATTTCTCTTAAAAATTTCTCTACTTTAACAATATAAGAAAAAAAATGTGAATTATACATTCTTTTACATACAAATGAGCAGTACAAAAGAACTAATGGAATATAGTGAGTTCACAAGGAAGCATTTAGCATTTCCGGAACATCTCCCAAGTAATATGTGCTATATCTAGTCTGAAAGTAGGCAGTCTCGGGATTTCAGAACTGGTCAGAATTTGTACTAACTCCAAGTATTTATCAAATTATGTTCATTTGGAGTTAAAATTCACACTGGTTTCATCATTTATTTGTAGATAATCAGTTTTGCATAGTTACTTTTTTCTGCATTTTTTTTTTTTTTTTTTTTACTAGGAAAGTAACTGGAATGTTGTTGAAATGAATGTTATAACTGACAGACAGATTTAACTTGACACACTTTTTCAAAAATGACCTATAAGAAGTGGATTTAGGGTGCCCTACAAGAAATTGACATCATTTTTGCCATATTTTGCCCCTCTTTTTTTGTATCTGACCTCCAACTTTGAATAACACTGACCAAAAATGCTAGAAACAAAACTTTTCTCAATTTTAGTGTACCCTCCCTGGTCATCCAAGACATCCAATACTGCAACTGATCAATGGAGTGATCTCTTCAATCCTGCCTTATCCCACATTGTGATTTGGTTTGAGTGTAGAGAGGCCAAGATTGACTCATAGGTAACTTTGTATCAAGCTGGTCCAAGCAGAGCAAAGACACACAAGAAAACAGGAGAAAAATAACTCAAATATCAAAATATATATACTATTTTTATACCAAGTACTATGTACAATAGTTGGTTAATTCTTGTTGGGGTCTAGGTATTAGCTTGCAGGCGTTTATTGACCCAACTCACTTTCTAAATCAGACATAACACTTGGAGTTGGCAAGGTTTGTTTTGTGGATGTGGTAAAGTTAGTTTAGTTGACTTGGTAAACGTGGCTCAAGGCTGATGTCGAGGGTTCATGTTTTGGCAGAGAGTCATGTGCATTATCTTGTGCCCTGTGGCTGGATCAAACTCTCAGGACGATCTTTCTCGAACTCGCTTGAGCCATTCATATTTATTAATGCTTGCTTGAAATTGGTGTGCGTGTGTGTGGTGGGGGTGAGGGGGTAGGTGTCTAGCATTTTCTCTACCTGTCCCAAAGAAACCCTTCTCCATTGCCTGGGTTCTGGGAATTAATTACTTCCTAATTTGGAAGACTGCCCCTTTTCTTGATGATTGTTATAGGTTTTAATCTGCCCCAAAAACTCCTTCCTTTTCTTAGCATCACCCACTCCATGGGCAGCCTCCTACCAACTTGGTGTCTCTTCTGTGCCTGCTACTCTTCAATGGGCACAGGTAGCTTCTTCTCCTCCTTCCTTGGTCTCTCTTCTGCGGCTGTCACCTAGGCCACCCAGCAAAGACTAATTCCAAGTTCATTAATTAAAATGAATTATTAAATTATCAAAATACTGCCATGTGTTTCTATCATAAAAATTAGTTTTTAAACCTGCCACTTCTGCAGAGAAATTCTCTAGATTCTCAGATTTATATTTTTTATTGGTGATAAAACTTATTTGGTGCCTATACCATTACTGTTAGAATTTTTGCTGATAAATTCTTTTTTATGCAGCTTAAAATTTTTTTTCCATCCTGTCAACACTAAAGAAAAAAAAAAAGAAAAAGTTCAACAGATCAAAATGCAATATCTGTTCCAGCAGCAGCTGCCAACAACCATCAGCAGCAGCTGTTGTTGTTCCAGCAAGCCAGCCACCATCATCTCCAGTAGGCTGCAAACTCCAACAGGTTTCTCCAGCCATCCTTGCCAACAACATGCAATAAACTATCCTTTTCAGAACAACGCTCTCCAACGACTATCAACGCTGTCCTCAGGACAGCGCTAATTCTCACATTCAGGAGCTTGCAGAATTATTTTATTATTTTTGTTTTTCTTACCTAGTGCACTGTACAATTATTTTTGTTTGTATTTTTTTCTTTAACAAAAATAAACTTGGCAATATATTTTTTACTCAACATATCGTTTTTTGTTGTTTTCCATCATTCAATATGTTTGCGGGCCAATATACCACTGGAAACACTATCTTCATGCAAAAAATAAATAAAAAATGCAGCATTCAAAAGCGAAGTAATTTTGAAGTAAGATAAAGTTTGTTTTTTTTGCAATAACAGATTTTTTTTTTAAATTATTGGGAGGGGGGGGGCATACTTGGATTAAAATATGTACAGTTTTTAATGGGTATGTTTGTTGCAACTGCCATTGGTCACTCCCAAACAGGAATGAATAGTATGCTTCGACCTTGACCTTTTAATCGTGTTCCCTACACACCATATAATTTAATCTAGTTTTAGAATTGATCAAATGACTATTTTGTTCTGCATTACAAACCTAGCAGTAATACACTTCCTGACCATTTTTACACCATTTTTCATAGTAAATCTCAGATTATTTTTCCTTAAGATTTTTAGTATTTTGCAAGACCTGTGGTTGTTGTTGCTCTTTCTTCATATAACCAAGTGATTTAGAAGAAATGCACTTGACTCTATGGAACAGGCAACCAGATTGTTTGTAACTATTGAACTCTCTGCCTTGAGCAGAGAGGGAACTTGGACAAAGTTTTGTCCGGGGAGGTAGACAGGCCCTGAACTCATTTATGTGGCTTTGAAGGGAATATTAAACTCAGCCTTGTACCTCATACATCCATCGTGGTGAGGCTGTTAAATATTAACTAACATATGCATGTTGTCCAGACTTAAATAACCTATCATATAGTTTACAGTAGTTATAATACTACAGGAGATTTTGACAGCAGATAGGTAGCACCTGTATTGGACTCTGGATTTAATGAACATCGCAATGCCAGCTGGTTCACTTAAAAACAGTGTCGTTTCTTCCCTACCATCTGATAAATTGCCCTAACGTTAGTTGTTGGATACATTGATGTAACGTCAATTCACAACTCCAAAAACCAATCACCACTTTTAGACATGATTCTCTTATTTCCAACTAAATTTTTTCTACTAAAAAATTTAATTAAGTAATGTTTGTTTCAAATTACATTACTTTAAGTTTTCTTAAAATAACTTTTGAAAATGTATTTAATTTTACAAGACTTTTAAACAGAAAATTTCAATTTTGTTTACAAAACTGTCAATAATGGCTAATATGATTGATTTTACGTCAATTTTGATGACTAAAAAAGAATTTTTTTTTTTTAAATTTCGGATGTGCTAGAAAGGATTAAAAAACTTTAAAAAATATTCAAAAAATACTTTGGTCTTTTTTCCTCTTAGCAGACAAACTGTTTAATCAAGTTGGGGCCTTTTTTCATCAGGATATGCTCTTTTTTTTTTAGCGAAATATTGATACTGGCATGCTGTTGTTTTACCATCCTCTCTTAGCCATATTACTTCCTTAAATTGAGAGATGCCATCATTGCCCCAAATTAATGTTTGTTTTATAAAATAAACAATTTAAAAAAAATTAGAAAAAACAGATTTAAGTTAAAGTCGGTTTGTTTCTTATGAGTAAGATATTGAATAAATTTTAAATTATCAGATTTAATTGAAGATACTTGATAAAGTAAACTTTCAAAGTTTTTTTAGTCTGTTTCTTTTACACACCGCACGAAGTCCTTCCTTGGGATTTCTCAGTCTTGTTAAAAATCTTTGACGTTTTTACTTTTTTGATTCTTCAAATACTAAGACTTATTAGCCACAAATTATTTAAATTTCACTTATTTATGGAAATATAGTTGAAAATTAAAAAAAAAAAAAAACGAAAATGCATTTCAAACGCTATTTTCCTTTTATCTGATTGATGAATTATCTCCAAAAGAAGGATCATTTAGTCTCGTTTAATGAACTTGCATCTAATGTAGGGGAGGTAAATCAATGTTTGGTATGTAAAAATTGTTTGAAGCGCTAAAACTACCTAGTTCGACATTACTTCTCGCCCACTACATACATCTCTTATAAAATTGTACTTAAATCGATGATAATACAGATACACGGCACGGTGATGTATTTTTAATTCGCTACATACATACTTTTGAAGAAGTTCCCCACACAATTGTCTTAGTTTTTAATGAAATGCGATAAATGCGCGAGCGAATAATAAAAAATCGTAACGGATAATTTAAAGAAAAAAAATTATATCCAGTGCATTTCTATCGACGTCCCTTACGTAAGATTAATCGGGAAGCAGGCACAAGTTAAGTATTTTTGAGAATTAAATGATGTTTTGTGCACCATTCAACACAACATCCAATTCGAAAGCAAAAAAACTATCGAAACTTAGCAGTGTATAATTATAACAAACAACTGTATCTCGTTTAGGTATAGTAATTTCAAATTACTAATTTGAAATTTCTGCACTTGAACGTCCGACGATGACTTAATTAAATTTATAACGATATAATTTCCGGTACAAAGCACATTTTAAATAAATAATTTAGGGTCGTAAAAGCACAGTCAAGATACCAGTAGCATTGCGAAAAAAAAAAAAAATCCAAAATTGCGGATTTTTTTTTTCTGGTAGTAACTGTTTCCAAAATAATTTTTTCAAAAAATATAAGCTTTAATTTTGTTTTCTGTGATCACAAAAAACAAGGAATTTTAAAATTATTTTTCAAATAAGTTGGACTTAAACACTAATTAAAATATTTTTTTTTTTTTGGATTTGGTTTCATTTCAATTTTTTTCTTCCACTTGGTCGAGTAAAAAAGGATTTTTAACAGCATCTAAAAAAACTTCAGTTATAAATTAAAAATATGACGTTAATAAAGTTGCAAATGGGATTTCTAAGTAGGTAATGAAAAAAAAATATTTAAAAAAAATAATAATACAAGTATCGTCATATTCAAATACTTTTTAGTAGGTGGGTGTTGTATTGGTTTTGGTTGGGTAGTTCTATTATTGTTGTTAGCCGTTAATGAAGCTAAATTTCATCTGAGCAGTATTGGAAAGCTGGCAAAGTTCTTAAACTTTGAAAAAAAATTTAAAATAAGTAGATTTTTAAAACACTGCAATTTTTTGATAATTACACAGCTGCTTTTGCTTGCGGGTCGAAAATACCAATTCTTTTTCAAATTAAACACAAGAATAAGTTTTCTCTGTTTCTCCTTTTCTCCACATCTCTTAAAAAATGAGATACAAAATTTTACTGTATTTTATTAAATCAACAAAAACTACTCGAAAGAAAAGAAATCTTACCTTTTCTAACGATGAACTGCAGTTAAAATAGCAGTAGTCTTCCGTATCTATTCCATCAACTTATTTCCTCATATTTCGGAGTTATGTCTGTTTTTATGGTGCTATTTACTCACAAGAAATAAAATCTGATGTCACAAACTCAACCATAAAAAAAAACAAACAGTCGGTGCTTCATTTTGTCTAATTTTAATTAAAACTTTCTACTTGTTTCACTTAACTGGAAGAAAAAGGAAAAACAAATTATTAGCCTTCCTTGTACAAGAAAATAGTAGTAACGCAAGTAAAACTTAATTAGTGACTAATAGTCGTATAGTAGCTTAGAGTCAGTAAGCGCTTTTAGCTGCACGTGTTGTGTACAACTAAGGAAAGATGGAATTGAAAAAAAAAATACATTCCTATTAATTTTTATCTCGTATTCAAACTACCAAAATACAGATTTTGCAAAAAGTTTAAAGCGTTACATTAATAATCATTTTCTAATCAATAAGACTTTTTTCAATTGTTTTAATAATGGTTAAACATTTTTATTTAGTTTCAAGTCAACTGAGATTAGAACCCACAACTGGTGTTGCTAGGCAAAAAAAAAGTAAGCGTGAGTGTCATGCTTCCGAATTCGATGAAAATTACGTAGTAGTAGATATTTTTTTATGCATAAAATTAAAAAGTAAAACGTGGGCGTAAAATTAGTGTACAAGACAATATAAAAAAAAAAAAAAAAAAAATAACTATTTCCTGGAACAGCTAATAATGAAAAATGTGCGGCGCTATTATACTTTCGCACCCTCGTTGGTTAGGGTTTTGCAAACATTGATTTTGTTTCTCGAGATTTATATTTTAATATAAATATTATAATTTTAACAATAACAAACAGAACTGTATCTAGCTGTCGTACCTGGGGCAACTCATTGCTGAATTACAGGAAGCAACAGGAGGATGTAAGTATAATAGCGCCAAATGTTTCTGCAAAGTGGTGAACGTGTTCGTTAAAATAAAATCAAAATTCAATTTTTGAAATTCCTAATTTTGTTTAAATTTCTCTTTTCAATATTACAAAAAAAAAAAAAAAAGTAATCAATGGATGAAAATTTTAAAAACAGTCCATCGGTCTCCAAGATGAATTCGCTTCTTACTTGGTGTCCAACACTTTCAGAAGTTTTTAAGGTAAGTTTAATTAAATTAGGAGAACGTCGTGGTATTATTAGACAGCTCTTTTGAAAAGCTTTTAAGGAGTTCGATTCTCACTGTCATATAAGCTTATATTTTTTATATTTAAAAAAAAACAAAAAAACATACACACGCAGATTCGTTTTGTTGACAATTATATTTTTTTTTGTTTAAAGAACTTTTTTTATAAATTAAATTCTCGCTTAATGTATTTTGTACTAAAGACTTTTTGTTATGCTGGCTCATCGGCGAAAAATGTCAAAATAAAATTTTTCAAAATTGTTTTGTAGTTCTTATGATACCAATATTAGCTGAAAAAAATAAAGATGACAGTGACATTTTTTTCTTTGCTACTGTGACACTCATTACTACTAATACTGTGTTATATTTTCTTTTGATGTTTTTTTTTTTTTTTAATTTCGAGTTGTTACCACCAAATAAATTTTAGCTTAATTTCCTGTTTCTGGATTATAAGCTTATTTACAATGCTGCGCAGTCTGGCATAAGGCGTGGTTGCCAAGTAAGGCCAGAAATCACTTCCATATACCTGCGAAGTGCGAACTAATTTGCGTGACTACTTTGTTGACCACTGAACTATTGTTAACGCTCTAGTCTAAATTGATGAGTAAATGAAGTTGTGAGGAAGAAAAACATGGGGGGGGGCTACACTGCTTTCTCGCGTCCAAACGTAACTCATAAGAATTACTTACCATCTCTTGATCATAGAAAATTTTGAACGTACTGGTTAATTGTGGAAAATAAGTGAAGAACCCTTCACGAAATTCGAAACAAAATTTTAACTGGATTTGAACACCTGTAAACGCGGAAATTAAGTATGGCACTTACACCAACACCATTAGTAACTGCACGCACAATACTCACATTAACGAAAACAACCGAAAGTTACCGAATTTAATGAAACACCGGATGCCAAAAGTCCCATAATTCTGCGCGTGGAATTGTGGCTAAATGTATGGTTGCTGATTGATTCTTTTGGAAATAAAATAAAATAAAATAAAATAAAATAAAGTAATGAATAGATAAAAGAATTGTTTGATAGCGTGTAAGTAAAATCTCGTTAATTTGCATTGCGTTTTTTCACCTACTTTTTGAACTGATATTAAACAAATTGTTTCCAGCATCTGCTATATTGTTTTCTTCAATGATTCTCCTACAGTCCTACTTAAGAAATTGATTTTTGTTTCCGTGTTATTTCTTTTTTGTCTGTCCTTTTTAAAAGATTCATTCATAGATAAATAATTTGTGCGTTTTGAAAGTTCAAACAAAACAAATACTCAAAACAACAGTCACTACAAAATTGTTTTTAATACAATGTTTACAATTTGAATTTGCAAATAAAGATCAGAATCACTGAAAATCCTAACTAAAATAATGTTTATTTCAATTGATTGAAGAAATTTTCAATATTAGCCGAGTTTGAACGAAATAATTTTCTTGTATTTTTTCTATTGTAGTTTCGTTTAAAAAAGAAAGGTTTCCGGTTTAATTGTGCTGATGAATTAGTTTTGTTTTATTTTTATTTTATTCATTAGTAAATAAATACATACAAACTAAACACTTTTTTGCAAATAGAAATTTGCTTTCCAAAGTTATAAAACAAAATGCATGTATTGTGCAATAGCAATTATATTGAAAAATAATTACTTCTGCTGATTATTTTTTTTTTTATTTTTGCAGAGAAATACTTCATTACAATGGAAAGGCTGTTACGACTTGGTGGCGGTGTTCCATCTCTTGGACAGGTTAGAGCTCTACTTAACTTTTATTAGAAGAAAACAAAGCTTAGAAAAATTAGCTATTAGAAAAAACAATACAAAGTCAATTGTGACTCACTAACAGGGACATTCAACTGATTTGGTATCACATGTGAAGCATTGACAAAAAATAACACTGCATTCAACACGCTATTTAATTTCACAATCATTCAATTCTAATAGATGCATTTTGTCTTCCAGCTTCCAACACATTGTAAAAAATCCTTTTTTATATTGTACAAACAAAAAACAAAATTTATCCTTATAAGAATTTTCAATTGAAAAAATGAGCTAAAAAGAAAGTTAAGATGTAAAGTTGTAAACAAATTTAAATTTGCATATGTTCAAGAATAAATTTATTTATAATTTTTTAAGATTAAATATATTTTTTTAATTCGATCAAAAAAGTAAGACTTGTCATGAATCCCTTAGTGGTAAAAAGATGTTTTTTTACTACTCCAATTTTCATGGTGGAAAATTTGACAGCTAAGTTTTACACGTTTTCATAAAACTCAGCTGTCAAAAAGATAAAGCAGCTTTATACATTTTATTTTAAGCTATGAAGCATGTATAAAAACTTTTATGGTCATTTTTTTTAATAATCGATAGATGAAAGAATGGAAAAATGTTAGTTATCTTTTTTAGATCTTTTTTAGCACGTTGTATGTAAATTTGTGGTGTGCTGCTCAGATTTGTTTTAAAATCGTTAATGAGGTTGTTAGTGAGGCTGCGTTTTTAGTGAGAGCACATACATTTAAATTTGCAAAGAATACAAGGAAAGAACAAGAGATCAAATTGCATTCAACAATAAAATATATATTGAAAATCAACGAGTACAACAATTGTGCTTATGTATTAATATTTAGGGAGAGAAAAGTAGCTTCCCTTGTACTGATATCTGATGCAAGATAGGAATAATGTACTTAAGAACTTTCTTGTTGAAATGTTCAGAGTTCAGTGAATAAGATTTGAATTCAAGAATGAAAAGTTTTTACAGAAAGGATAATAGAACTTGGTTTGTGACAGTTAACAGTGTAGTGTAATGATAGTTCTGTGTGTGTGTGTGAGTAGAAGAATGTAGATACACGTGCGTTCCTGAGTTCTGCTGATTTATTGTTCCACTAATTTATTTCTGGAGTACGAACTGTTTAAATACTTTTTTGGGTAGGCTCCAGAGAGAAGCAGCAAAAATATCAAAAGGAATATCTAAAATACACGATTGGATAAAAATTGACCAATCACTGATTTTTTTACAAAACCAAGTTAGGCAAAGTCATGGCAGAAAATTTTGTATGGTTACTGCAATAGGTAAATTGTCCTGTAGCAAAACAGTACTTACTTTCTATCCAATTATAACTGAGTATTTTGTGGTAAATCGGAGTAGTCACTACAAATTGTATCGTTTTGACTAAATCAGAAGACCCGCAGTAATTAAGAAATGTAATTTTGTGTTTATAATCGGGCTGTAATTATAAAGTACAGAAGACCAACCACAATACACTTAAGTTGCGTTGTTTGAATTAAGCATTGTTCTCCGCTCTTAAGGCCTTTACTTTTGCGAAACACATGTGAAATTAATTTGATTTTTCAGTTTCAACTGAGAAGGGTATCTACAAATATCAGTATCATCTTATGATATTTATATGATCTTATTTTTATATTAATCTCAGTTATGACATTTTTCCATAAATGAAATGTCAAAATTAATAATAAAATGAATGGAAATAAAAATAACACAGTAAAATGTAATAAATGTACATATAATTATAGTACACTTATAAAATTTCATAAGAAAGGTACCTATAAATTAATTAGATATCTTTCTTATGAAATTTAATCTCACTCTTAACAGTCTTATTTTAATTTCTTTAGAATATATTTTCCATAAAGCATTGTAAATGTAAAGGTGAAAGCTAAGTACCAAAAAAAAAAATTAGAGCGTTAAAAGTTTTCTTTAAAAATAACGAGGTAAATAATTTGTTCACTTAAAACTAAATAATTTCACTTTTCTCCTTCCGTAGAACAAATTATTCTCACGTAATCCGTCAATATGTTATTCATCACCTGTCAAATGACGTGAAAGATTATGACCTGCTTTGTTTTATTTTCAAATTACATCTTTTCGGCACAGAAGCTAAGTTAAGCTTGGTTCAAAATATTTTAAATAAACATTATAATTTCTGCTTTTTCTTAAAATAAGTCTTGAAAAAATGATAATTGATTTTTAAAAGAATTGCAAACTGAGATTTTCATTTTTTTTATAAAATGGAAAAAATGGTTGCCATGATTGATTATCTGTCAATTTTGCTGACTCAAAAAAAAACCAAACAAGATTCTTAACAAAAATTTCGGACATGCTAGGAACAATTAAAAAATACCCCCAAAATATTTTGATTTTTCCTCTTAATAATAACATAAACATTTAAATGATAAAATTTTGTTTTCATCAAGTTTGGTGTCTTTTTTATCATGCTCTTTTTTAGCGATCTCATGGAGGTACCTATGTTTCAAGAGAATAAAACTAAAAGCCTGGATCTATCCAATGAAGGAGATAGATGAAATTTCTGGCAAGATTAGTGAGTTAGGCTGAAGACAAGCTTTTTTTTTTTTACCTGACCTGAAACTGATGGCTTAGATCCCAACTGGTCTATTATTATTGAATGGATCAAGAAAGATTGTATGCACAATGAAGAAGGTCAAATTAGTGTTCCCACTGCATCTGATAAGGGTGCATTTTTGACACATCAACAGTTAAGTGGAGAAGAGAAATGAAGTTCACTATATAAAGCAGTGAGTGGGCACCTCGAGGTGATGTAATGGTTAGCAAGCTTGTCTGGCTAGAACAATTATGACTGAGTAGTGAGTTTGATCCTCACTGGGTGCCCCATACTTTCGGCCTTGTGCCACATCTAAGCTATGCTTGGAAAATCACTATAAAGCAGTGGGGAAAAACTGTGATAGATTTTTTGATTTTTTTGCTTACATCTTACACAAAATAGCAATCACAAAAACAGGAATAAAGGCAATAAAGATGCAAACCATATATATTTAATAGCAAACCCCAGTACAGGGGAAACTCACTTCCTACAAAATCAGCATATCATGTTATGTCCTATCACAGAAGTACCTGGATTGCTATCTGTCACTCTTTGCTAGTGTTGATGTTCAATCATCGGTACAGTGTAAACTGATGTAGTGATCTAGGTGCCTGTGTGTACATAGTATGTCATTTCTCCACTTTGTTATAAATGTCTCAAAGATTATCAAGAATTTCTTATTGTAAAATATTTTTTCTCAGATATACAAATCTCATTAATAGTATTAGAGATTCATCTAATACATCAGTGCATGGTCTCTTTGAAAAATGTAATAAGCAAATAAATTTAAAATAATATGCACATATATGATTGTTATTTATATTGTCACTGTGAAATTCTATTTATGTGATATGACCCTTTTTACACAGGGTCAGTAATGATGCAGTCCTCTATGAAAAATGATTGCCCACCCCTGGTATAAAAAGTGCCCTATATGCAACTTTTGCCATTGACTCTTTAGTGGCATACAAAAAATTCATTGCTCAATTCATTGATGTATATGCTTTAGCAGAGCTGTGAAAGTCATTTCTGTTCTGTAGTATACCTGAACATGGCTGGGCATGAGTGTTCAATGAAGGATTACTGGACAACATCAGGCAGCTACTTTGAGCTTCCTCTTTCATGGATGCCATGAACATTGATCAACTGTTGGCTTGGCTCAGGACAGTATTGGCAGGAAATGGATCAGTTGTAGCAGATTCACAACTAGCGTACAACATTGTAGAAGCAGAGTTCACATACCAAAGGTGTAATGGGCCAAAAAACATGGCAAAAGACTGAGTTGTCAAGAAGGAATAACTAAGGACCAAGAGAGGGGACCATATAGAAATGTACGCTGATTTTGGTGTCACAAGATTATCCGGAAAATGAGTTGGAGGACAAGATGCCAGCACCAGTTTTTTCCCTAGGTGAGATATGAACACAGTGCTACTAATGATTTAGGTTCAAGTTAATAGAAAGCTCGGTTGATTCAGGATTCTCTCACTTGATTGTAAGTAAAAAGAACATGGATCTGATGATAATTAGTGGTAGGATTCATGCATGTTGTGGAGGTGAAACCATTGGGCTTAGTATGGCGAGTATCTTGAAGTTGATGTCCTGGTGGTGTATGAAGAACTGTTGGAATTCAGTCTGTTTGGAATTAATGTGATTGTAGAGATTTAGATAGATAAGCCTGATTTCAGTGCAGAATTTGATTGATAGCAGAATATATGGATTGCAACATAAAAATGATTGAAAGATTGGACACTGGAAGAACTACAAAAAAGATTGTCAAAGTACTCTGTATCCAATCAAATCAGAGATGATTATAAGTGGATAGACAATGGCTAGTTGTTACCTTTCCCTGAGGAGAAACTTTAACCTCCCAAAGCTTTAATGTTGGTTATTGCTGTGAGTCAGCATAATAAGATGAAGGTATGCATGATGAGTGATAAACTAGGAGGAGGTTAATAGTCACATTGATACATTCACAACAAGGGCTCTTTTTTTTTTTTACTTTATCACTTACAGTTGTTAGTAGTATAATAAAAACACTACTAAAATATTTAGAAAATAAAAAAAGCTAAAATAAAGTTTTAAAATTGCATCTTTGTTTTTATTTCAAAATTTAGGCTTAATTACCTTGAATAATATTACATGGAAATATTCTTTATAAATTACTTTTCATACTCAGAGCCACTTTTATCATACTTTAAGAATTGTGCTCTATGCATTTGTTTTCTATATAAAGAATATTAGGGAATTTCAACAATTCACAATCAAAAAAGTCTTTATCAAAACATTTACATTTACCTGTCTTAGGTCAATGCTAAATTCTTTTTGTTTATCATTTTTCCTTGCACTGTTAATTTTGTTTATGACAAGCAAAAGACAACACCTAAATGTTAAAGGTCATTCAAGTTTTTTTAAGCAAAATGTGACAAAAATGATAATTTTTTTACTTTGTTTATTAAAGTAAAATTAGTTATAATTAGAGCCTAATATTTTGCACATTTAAAGATAAATAATGCAAATATCTAAATTTGAGTCCTTCAACCTTCATTTTTCCTTCATTCAGAAACATTTAGTATATGTGCATTTGCTTGTGCATGCTCCATTTATTAAAAGCCCACCACTATTAGTGAGGAATAAGTTGTTTTTTTTTTTAAAGAAATTAGTTACTTTTAGAATAAATATCATAGAATTTTAATTAAAAAGTTAGTATCATCTCAAAAAAGGAAACATCACCAGGCATCCCAAATTAATGTTCTAACATCCTCAGTACAACATTACCCTTAAGCTCTTGTTCACAACCGGTGCAGATGTTTGTGCAGCCAAATTGAGAGAATGGTGTCAGCAGAGCTCAAACACGTTCATGGTAAATCTGAGGAAAGTATCTCTGCTGTTGTATGTCCATGAAGTGCTGTGACCATTCCAAAAGAGTGATGGTTAAAGGGGGAAGATTCTACCTAACATGTGGGATTAGGATTTGGTCTCAATGTAGTAGTGATGATAATAATATCTATCATTAATGCTATGCTATCCCAAAAGAAGTTGATTAAAATAGCTACATTGACAGTATTTTTTGACAATGAGGATATTATTCCTCTGATCTATGTCAAAGAGTATTTGTCATGCTTTGATCTATTCAGCAAAACTCTGAATATTTAAGAAATGGTACCAAAGTACTGGACTTTGAAAGCATAATGACACTCTGCAGTGGAAGTGGGGAGATGTGAACCAATATGACCATGCAGCAAAGTGTTTTCTTTTTGTGCAGGAAGCTCAAGGGATATTTCCCAGTGTGTGGGTTGGTTTGCGTAGCAAGCCAGTTTATGAAACACAGAACAAGCCTGATAACAGATGGCTGCGATGACACAGTAAATTTTACAACCTTGTTCTCTCTTTTGAATCTCTTGCCACAACTCTAAAGGTGGTGGAATTTGGTATGGAAGAGATATCCCTGAAGCAGATAAGAGCAACACAATCATGCTGATGGACAAGTTCAAGTACTAAGTCGGAGATGGTAGCTACAACAAAATAAAGAATAATATGACTCTGAAAACCAAGAGGAAACATTCAAAGATTCTGAGCAAGAACTAATTACTTTGTAATTGAATTAATACAGACAATTGATTCTTTATTGTAATAAGCTACTACACATAGAGGGGAAGGTGTGGTTATTAATACTTGTGGAGTGAAGTCAATAGAAAGTGAACAATACTGGAGGATAAGAAAACTAAAAGAATTGGCACACATATTAGGCATTGATAACTTCCTCAGTATACCTAGCATAGATCATGATTAAGTCTGATTAAGAAAGAAAAATACAGTCCCACCACATCTAGTAAAATCCTAACCTCTTGAACAAGTTTTTACACTTATAAAAGATGTTCACCTTGAAGTATAATATGCAATGCATATTAAATATGTTTTAATTTGTATTTGCAAAACAAGTTATTGTAATAATTATTATTACTTAGATCAAATGCATTAATAAATGGAAAAGTTTTCAGAATTCATGAAAATATTTGCTGCTTTACATTATTTTCTTAATGAAATTCAGATGGAAATTAAATTAACAAACAACAGATTCAGAATGAACAATAAATTAACAATACCAGAATAACCAAAGAGGCCTATCATTGTTCCAGGACTATACCCCAGCTTTAATTTGAAACTTCTCTTTAATACAAACATTGCCTTGCGGGGAAAATCCTTACTTTTTTTTTAGAGTGGAATTGCAAACTGATATCTCACTAAATGCCTTTACATTCAAGTAACAATAGTCCCGGGGGTGAAAATTTATACCAATTTTAGTTTTTACCATATTATAATTTTCAAAGGTGAAAGGCATTCAAACAAACAGTAATTGTCTGTTTAGGGAGATTCATATTTATTGAAATAAGAAAGTATAGATGCCTCCTTTTTGTGCACTTAGTTTCGTTTTCATAGGTGATTGTTTCAAAATAATAATTATATTTTTTTATTATACATACTTGTTTCTTCCTCACATTTATTTCAAAATGCATAATGGTAACAAACCAGCATGCCTCTATTTATTTATGTGGATTGATATAAGAACATGTATCCAAAACAAATACTGCATTTCTGATTAAAAATGCTAGAAAAACAGCTCTAGCTCAAGAACCCCTTTTCTAATTTTAATGAAATTTGGCCAGGTTCAAGGTACAATATGCTCCTAAATTGGTTAGGATATTGTATTGTTTAAGATGCATCTCAGGGAAAATACATGCATGCATACAAGATTACGGTTTTAGTATCATATAGGTTTTGTTCTTCAATTTGAAGTAAGGTTTGTTATGGATGCACATGAATTATGGTTTTATTACTTATCTTTGGTGCTAAGACCTGTTTTGTAAATGATGAAATACTAAATGAAATTTATCACATACTGCTCAAAAGATTATTCATGCAAGTATACTTAATTTGTAAACATCTTGAATATGCATAAAAGTAAATGAAATGCAAACATATCTAAAGGTCGATTTTTTTAAAAAAATTTTCCTGTAATTACAAGTTATATTATTAAAATATTCAATTCTAGTATTTTTCTGGGTTTTATTTTATTAAAGAACAAAATTCCTTTAATAGAAATATATATCAAAGTGCATATTTTGCTCTTTAGAGAATATAAACTTTACTTAAAAAATTAATTCATTTAGTTTTTCACATAGCAGTATGTATGATAATGATGACGTGTATCATGTATTTTTTTATTATTTTACTTTTAGGGTGCTCCATCAGCTGATGCTCCGACTGTAGACACTGCTGAACAAGTCTACATCTCTTCTTTAGCCCTCCTCAAAGTAAGTTATGTTCAAGAGATTAAATAATTCTTAGATTATTAGACTGAGATTTTAAATTATGACTCCCTTTGATTATTTTTAATTTAATGATTTTTAAATGAGTTTTTACAGCAATCTTACCAATAAAATTTGCACCATTATCATTTCAAGTTTAAATTTGCAATCACTGTCAATTTTTCAAATGGCAATTCAGAATTGTTCTGAATTATTATTTAACCTTATATTTGCTGTTTTTCATAAATTGATAACATTTGCAGTTTCACTACAAAGATTTGAGAATAAAATTTTTTTTTTGATAGATGTTGAAACATGGCCGTGCTGGTGTTCCAATGGAAGTTATGGGTCTAATGTTGGGAGAATTTGTTGATGATTACACCGTTAGAGTTATTGATGTATTTGCTATGCCACAATCAGGAACGGTAAGTTGCAAACATTTGTATTTAGAATGTTAATGAATTCTTTGAAATTTTCGAATATCAATAAAACCATTTGTATATGGTACAGAACATCAGTGTTCAATAAAATTTATTTACTCAAGTCACAAGGTTAAGCTTTTATTTCTTTGCAAATAAACAGAATATTTCATCATAAGTTTGTATTGGTTTCTTTTAAAGTGAACATTATTGTTGCTTGTTATTTTGTAGGGTGTGAGTGTAGAAGCAGTAGATCCAGTATTTCAAGCCAAAATGTTAGACATGCTGAAGCAAACAGGAAGGTAAGAGCATTTTTCTTTTTACTTGATACTGATTTGAGGTGGAAGTTGTTTGGAATAAAGAAACAAATTAGACACTGGTTTGGAGAAAGATTTATTTTCATTTACAAGATATGAAAATGTCTCTGGTAAGTTGTATAGTGTAGCGTTTGAATGTACAGTGTACAAGGTGTGAAATCAGAGTGTGTAAAAGGAGTATGCTTAACCTGGCTGAATGGTTGTTGGCTATCATTTTGGGCTTGTGGCATTGATAGTGGAGTCTATTCTCTTTTTGTCTTCACAGGAGGTAGTTTTCACAGACTGATGGTTAGCTCTGCTCTCGAGTAGCCTTTATGGCTAGCATGTGTATGTGAAGTCTCTCTCTCTACTGTCCAGCTTCTCCTATAACCTATATAAGGGAAAAGCATGGACATAGTTGTAGGCATCTGTGGCAAGTGAGAGTTATGTCAATAATGGCCAGCACTCTGGCATATTTGTGTTTTTTTTTATTTTTTTTTTTTTTATTTGTTTTGAGTAGGGTGTGGCATGTGCGTGAGTTAGCTAGATGAAAATTGGCATGTAGTTAGAGATATATGTTTTCTAATAATTGTATAAATTTGGCTTTAATTTGTTATCTCTAACTATGTGTAAATTGTATACTGCTGCTAAAAATACTCCCTTACCAGAGAAAATGTTGTGTTGAGAATTTTCTTGAAATAATGTTACCAAAAAATTGTACAGGGAAAGAAAAAAAAAATGAATAAATTTGGTTACAAAGTATCGAAAGTGGTGTTGGATAGAGAGTTAGCCAAATGAGTTAATTCTAGAGCACTTACTGTCCAAAAAGGTTTGTTAAAATCGTGCCTTCAAAATCGTTTTGAAAGTAGTAAGTTATGTTTGAAACTGGTGTAGTTTGTAAGTAGCTTGCTGCTTGGAGGTGATTATAATGCTTTGGAAAGCATTACAGTTATATCTGTTAAGGGCTAAAATTAACCGAGGGGTTGAAATGCAAAAGGTTGATTATCATATATATATCTTGTATGACTTCAATCTGTTGGACCAGTGGATGCGTCAGCCTGATTGTGTGTGTTTGGTATAATCTGTAACATCTTCCTTGGGTTGATCTGTGGTAAGAGTTTTGTGGTTTTGAAGTTTGTTTTGGCAAATTGACATGGGCTTGTTTGAGTTTGTTGATTGATATGTTGTCTGTATGCCCATTTCGTTCAATGGTGAAATATTTCTCTGCCTTATTGATCACTCAGAATGGGCTGTCATATACCAGTTGAAGTGTTTTCTCTCACAAAAACAAAATACTTTGAGAAAAGATCTTTAGGCATGTATCTTTCATGGTCCTTCTGGGTGCTGTGAAAGATAGATCACTTATTGTTGCTTTAAAATTTTTCAAAAAAGGGCTTGTCGGCTGAATTTCTGGCATGTCCAGAAAAAAACTGTCTTGGCAAAAGCAATTGAGTTCTGTATACCAAATCTACTGTTGTGTATTGCAAATCCTCTTTGATGGTGGATCTTAATGCAAAGAGAATTAAAAGGTAAATTCTTGTTTCAACACAGTGTGCAGCAAGGGATGCTGTAAGCTGTCTGTGGAAACACTTCACTATTCCATTTGTGCATGGGTGATAACAGTATTTACTGTGGTATCCAAAGTATCTGAGATTATGTTATTTTCCCCAGAGATGTGTCTTATATCAGTTGAAAATTGAGCTACAAAATCCAAATGTCTGATTTCTCTGGGTGAATATTTGTCTGGTTTGTGATCTGTGAAGATTGTGAAATGTCTTCCTTCTAATATGTGTTTGTAATGTTTGACAATAACATATATTGCTAGTAGTTCCCTGCCAAAAGTGCCGTGCCTTTGTTTTGCAGGAAACAATTTCCTTGAAAAAAATAATGTAGGTGTTGTTTTTTTGTTTAATTTTTGTTGCAATACAGCACCTATCACATTTTCTGATGCATCTGTTGCAATGGACAGTTTCGTCTCTGGAGTGATGTACTGAAATTCAGTGCATCAGATAATCACTAGATAACCAGTACATGAAGCAACATGACGGTTATCACCAGATAATTCTGTAATTCTTTGACCTAGAAAAGTTGAAGATGAGACACCAGAAATGCATTTGCTGAGATTGATTTTTAATCTAAATTATTACAAACTTATCCAATGTGAGACTCATGTTCGGCTTCATTGGTACTAGTTATAGTTACGTCATGTATGCAAGCGTACACACAATCTAGTCTGCGAAAAACTGAAATGTTTATACTCTATTTTTGAAACCAAAAGGTATTTTTAAAAATTCTAAAAGTCCAAATAGTGTTATGGCTGTCGTTTTTATGTCTTCTTCGGCCACAGAATTTGGTTGTAAGCTCAGATCAGATATATTTTAGAGAATACTGTTTTCTGTAGGAATGCAGAAATAAAATCCTGTGGATGTGGGATAGGATACCTATCTGGTATTGTTATGCTATTCAGAGCTCTTTAGTCTCCACAGGGTCCCCAGTCTAGGCTGTTTCTTTTAGGCACTATGTGTAACAGCAATGCCGTTAAGGACTACTGGATGGACAGATTATATTTAAATCCATCATCCATTGAAATTTCACCTTGGTGATTTTAAGTTTATCTGGTGATAACCGTCATGTTGCTTCATGTACCGGTTATCTAGTGGTGATTATCTGATTTGCTTAATACTCAACATCAGTTTTTTTTTAATCGTTTCTCCCAATCTGTCCACCTTTGGTTTTTTTGGGCATCATTGTAATGTGTGATGTGGATATCCATCATTTCGGCTAACATGTTAAGCTCTGATTTTTCGGTCAGTGGTGTGAGAATTTTGACTATGTCTATGGGTAGCTTATCTAACCACAATTGTCATAGTAGTTTTTCCTCCATAGAGTTGTTACCTAAAAGGTTCTTCATGTCTTAGTAGTTGTGATGGTAATCTGTCTCCGATCTATCACTAAAAAATCCCCATACTTGGGCCTGACCTGATTTTCCAATTCTTTTTAGCATGGTTGTTTTTAGAATGTCATACAGATTTGTGGCCAGCATGAGCTCAATGATGTTGTTAACCTCTGCAGTTATATCCTCTGGTAGGACCACTACTACATAAACAAATTTCATTCGCCATGAAGTTATCTTTTGGAAAATGAAGCTTGTACTTGGTTAAACCAAGTCCGAGAGTTTCTTCTGTTAAAAGGAGGTAAATGGATGATGTTTAGTCTTGCTTTGTGTTGTTCCATAGACATGTCTGAAACTGACAATAATGAGACATCTTCCATTTTTACAGTGGTGTTCGTTTGTGTGGTCACCAGTTGATCCAAGGTGGAAGTTGGTTGGAGTAAAGAAACAAATTATACACTGGTTTGGAGAAATGACCAAAGATTTATTTTCATTTACATGATATGAAAATGTATCTGGTAAGTTGTATAGCGTTTGAATGTACAATGTATGAGGTGTGAAATGAGAGCATGAAAAAGGAGTATGCATAACTGGCTAACTGTTGGTTATTGCTTTGGGTTTGTGGTGTTGATAGTGGAGTCCATTCTCTTTCTGTGTTCACAGGGTGTCAACACAGCCTAATGTTCAGATGAGCAGTCAGCTGTGCTCCCAGGTAGCCTCTATGGTTAGTGTGTGTATGTGAAGTCTCCCTGTTTTCCAGCTTCTCTTATAGTCTATATAAGGGAAACATGGACATAGTTGTAAACATCTGTGGCAAGGAAGAGTTGTGTCAGTAATGGTCAGCAACCTGTTATGTGTTTTTGTTTTAAAATTTGTTTTGAGTAGAGTGCAGTGTGTGTGTGTGTGTGTGACTTAACTAGATGAAAATGGGTTAGAGATTGTTTTCTAATAATTGTATAAATTTAGCTTTAATTTGTGATTGGTGTAAATTGTTTTTCTGCTACACTATTATCAAATGAATTGTTTTATTGGCAGACAGTTATGTCCCTGTTAAAATGGCTCAACCAATTCACTATCCACTGAATTATATTTGAAAGGAAAACTGAGAAAATGGCTTATTTTCAGATGATTTGGTAATCTTGTTGGTTTCATTGAATAAATGATGGTTTGCTTTTTAAAAAAAAAATTTTCTACTTGATATAGTATTTTTCTTTGCTGTCCATGTCAATTTATGGAGGGGTGCTGAAAAGTCCTCAGCTCAACCAATAAAAGATTCCAAGAATAAATTCAAATCTTTGGTCAAATTTTAGGAAGTGCATTGAACCTGAGAACTTTTCAATATTCTCTCAAATAAATGTCTTATTTTGTAATAATTTTATTTCCAGACCAGAAATGGTTGTTGGTTGGTACCATTCACATCCTGGTTTTGGTTGTTGGTTATCTGGAGTTGATATCAATACACAACAGAGTTTTGAGGCTCTTTCAGAGAGGGCTGTTGCAGTTGTGGTTGATCCTATTCAGAGTGTAAAAGGAAAGGTTTGTTATTTTTATTATGTATTTTAAGTGTTTGTCTTTGTGGAAATATGTCTAGATTTGGCAGAGCATAATGTATGCACAATAAAACTTCTTTTTTTGCCATGTACGTATTATGTATGTGTGTGTGTGTGTGTGTGTGTATACACACACCTTTGTTTCCATTTCTGTATTATACTCATATAATACTCATCATTTTATCAGTTTTCTTCAAACTGAAATTTTATTGTGGATCTAATAATGATTTGATGGTAACTCATGGCAAGAGAAAATGTTTGTATTGATTTTTATGACAAAAATAAAAATCATTTGCTTGATATGATTAAAATTTATTTTTCATTTGAATAAACTTTATTTTATTAAATGCTCTTCATTTTCTATTTCTCCCCTCAGGTTGTCATTGATGCTTTTCGCTTGATTAACCCCAACATGATGGTACTTGGTCAAGAGCCAAGGCAAACAACTTCTAACCTTGGGCATCTTCATAAACCTTCCATTCAGGTAAGTTCTTTAGATATTTTACACATCAAACTGGCACATATTGCAATGGGTTTTTATACTTGCACCTTTGTTCTTCATTATTTAAAATTCTTTTCAGAAAAGGCCCAATGTGAACAGTTTCTTTCAATAGATTATAGTATACATTTGTTACTGCAATGAGTAAAACTTTTGCATTTCACTTTATCAGGAGAAAAAATAAGTTGTAATGTCCTCTCATTTGAGATACATATGTCTTTTAAATATTGATAATCATTACAAAGATTTGTTGATTAAAAATATGAGTTGAGCATAACATTGTATCATGCATTGAAAAAAAAAATAGCATCAGAAAGTAGTTGCCATTTGGGCAAAGTAATTTCTCCTTCAAGGAAATTGCATTTTGTAACACTGGGCTCTTTAAGAGACTAAAATGGAAGAATAGAAAATGGCATGAAAGTAAGATGTATGTAATAGTGACTAAAGTCTGGTGAAACTGATAAATTTTTAATGTTACCAATGAAAAAGGTGTCATGAAGTCTCTTCTCAGTATTTATGCTCCGAGCATGTGCTCTCCACAAAAAATAGTGACATTACATTAGTCAACACGATTTTTGGTGCCAAGAAGCAAAACATATTTTTTAGCTAATTTGATGGTGCTGATTCTGAAAATGACCTTAGTTTTTCATGGTTAGCTACCATTTTGCTGTAGTCATTTTTGGAAAAAAGATCAATTTATGATCTTGGTTGATTGCAAAATTTAGTTAATAAAGGTTGTAGAAATCCATTAATTTTCAGGTAGACTGAGCAATTTATGTCAGCCACCTGAAATAAACTATTTTTATAAGAAAAAAGTGTTTTTGAGTCAAAATAGAAGTACCAAATTTTTCCAATTTATCGCCAAAATTCAAATTAACTGATAAATTTTATCAGTAATACACTTTAGTAAACCTGATTTAAGGTGACACCACCAAAAAAAAATGAAACCCTAAAATCTTCTGTTTGATATTCGTAAATTTATCCCTTCACTAACCAAGAAAAAGTAATGTCATTTTCAGATTTACCACCCTCAAATTAGGTAAAAAAGAAAAAAAAAAGATGTTTGGTGTCTTGACACCATTTCAATTTTTTTTTTGTTGACCAGTGTTATAGAAGAGGTGTTGAAAAGTTTACAACCCAATCTACTTGTCAAAATCTGACCAAACAACTTCTTTTGGAATCCCTTGTTGGTCAGGTGGCCGAGTTTTCGGCACCTCCTCCTATATTCTAATCATAATTGACAGACCTGCTGAATTCCTAAGGTAGTCATGGGTTTGTGCATGTGTGCCCCACATTAAATGAAGCCCTATATTTTGATATGATACTTCTATGAATGTGTTGTATCTCAAAACATTTTAGTGACCCCCCCACCCCCATCCCTTTTGTACTTAATATACCAACAATTGTTCTTTTTAAGTATTAAATCTTTGCTATTTCTTGCTTCTATACATGAGACATAATTGGACATTTCAATCTACCAAAGCATTGTCCTTTATTTGATGTCATCATTGAGTGTGTTGGTTATGTAACCGTTATCACTGAAGAATTGGCAATCTGTGTTCAAATTCTAGCCTGGTCAGTTGTGATCACTTTTGCAATAATGTCCGTTGGAAAGGCATAAATCTATCTCTTCTCGTCTGTGCATTAAATAATGGGGCAAATTGGGCCCTCTAATCCTTGATGGCATTCAGTCAGAGGAGGACTACTACTATGAACTTAAAACCATGGAGCAGGCAATAAGAAACCACTCCACTGTCTTTCCTAAGAAGACATGGCTGTTCACAGATAATAAAGAAAAAGAATCTGTGGAGAGCCATGATCACATTTGCAGGGACATGGCAATGAAAAAAAACATTGGGTAAATGACTATTGCTACTGTGTTTCTTTTGTTGATAAATGTGTCTTATCTTTTACAGGCACTTATCCATGGCCTGAACAGACATTATTATTCAATAGCCATCAACTATCGCAAGAATGAATTAGAACAGAAGGTAAGTTGATTTAATGTTGAGCAGAAATGAAAGTCTACAAAATCTGTCATTTTCTTCACTGTAAAGTGTTGTGTTTTTTCTTCAGAAAATAATTTAAGGCTTTTAATGGTTATTTGTTTTTATTTAATGCCTTTTTTTCCTCTTCTAGATGCTACTCAACTTGCACAAAAAGAGTTGGGTTGATGGACTCACATTACAAGATTATAGTAACCACTGTAAACTTAATGAAGAAATTGTTAAAGAAATGCTAGACTTGGCTAAGAACTACCATAAGGTGAGTGATGCATTTAATTTGGATTTTTTTTAAAGATAAATTATTTATGTGGAAGTGTTTAAAACTTATCATTTTCAGTCAGAAGATAGAAAACTAAATTCTCACTAATATTTAAAGAATCGTTTTATCTGAAAACCTATTTATCCTCATTAATCTTCTGTTTGAAAATAAAGCATGACATGTTTTTATCATTAGAGTTGATAGTCCCACTGGAGCATATTTCAATATAATTCATTCTTATAGTATAACAGAATGTTTCTGCTTTTGAAATAAATTGTGACAGGTTAGAAAAAGTGGATAGATTACAACAGCACAAGATTGTAAGGCAAAGGAAATTAGCCATTACATACTTTACCAAAAGTTGGTATTCAGACAAATAAAATAATGAATCTGTATATTTTGAAACTGTCTGCAAATTGGTACCAGCTGCAGTCACTCAAACCAATATAGCACTAGCAAAGGTAAGATTAGCTGTACCAGTTGCCTACACTTGCTCACATTTTGCCAATATAGCAGCTCATGTACTAATTATATTATAGTTTTACACTCTCTTTTGTAATCTAGGCCCACATGGTTTACTCTCTGCTGTGAGGCAAGTCAACCACATGTATAATACTGTTTTAATTTGGCATCAGTTTTTTGGGTATTTTTTTTTAAATTACAATGAATACTTTCACTTTTACAAGGAGGGAAAAGGTCAATCACATTTCTTTGGTGATTCAATCTACTGTATTCACTAGATATTGCACATTCAGATTAACATTTATTCTGATGTTTGTAGAATTCTCTTAATGATTATATTCTTTCACTGTAGTACAAAAAATTTAATTTAAGTTGCCTGAAAGATGGCAGAAAATGGTGAAAAAATATAGCAAAGATGTTTTTCAGTAAAGTTAATGTAAATTTTTTTTTAAATATTTGACTTTCTTTTTATCTGAATGAAACAAAATTTCTGAGCCACCCAATGACTTCCACTGAAACTGATTTCTAAAACAATTATTAAAGTATCCTATTTTTTCATCTATTTTTATTTTTTATCCTTGTAAAAATGGATTAGTATGAAGTTTTCCAAAGTGTATACTACAGCACCATGGAGGGTCACTAACAGGTTTTGGGCCAGGATACTTGATAGCTTAGTAGATAATTCTTCAACCCAAAAGTTACCTATTCTTCAACAGTGATGCTAAATTTGGAGATTCTTGCCAGTATCTTTTTTAAATAAATATAACTGATAGTGTTTTTTTCTTCTTATGAATTAACTGTCTTTCATCATGTTTGTGAACATAGCATTATGATTGTTATCATCGAACATACTTGATTAAGCCAATATTTTTTAAATATTTAATATCAGTAGGTGGAAATGTTAATTTGGTACATAGTCCTTCACAGCTGAAAGAAAAAGGTCTTTTTACTCAATTGTGAAAAAACAGATGTAAGATTAAAAAAAAATTCTCTTGAAAATTTGTTTCAGTTATGTTATTTTTAATTGATGATAAATGTTTATTATAGTCTACCAAGCTTTTTGTTACTTCAAAGTAAACACTACATTTTTTTTTTAATGTTGGTGGTGGCTACTATGGAAATTTGTGTCAGATTCAAATACAACTCTTCCAGGAAAGAAACAACATGCTTGCAGAGTGGAATAATTTTATATTTTGTCTTTGACATGAACCCAAAATTTGAATGTTTCTGTGAAAACATTCCTTTCATAAAAGAATCACATGTATCTTAGCAGATCTCCATGGCTGAAACCAGAAAAAACATGTTATCATTGTAAACTTTTTTTATTCTACAGGTTTTTCAACACATAGCTTAGGTCAATGACACAGATTATTTGGTTAAGAGTTTGATAAAATAATAATTTATAATGGTTTTGATCTCCACATTTCTATTACTACCTGTCATGAGGGTGTTGCCAGTCAGTCAATTTCTTTCTGTCTTTGTGACTCAGTGCTTCAGTCAGATTCATTTGTTTTATCTTAAAAAAAAAACAAAAAAAAACTAGTTAATGTTCTGTGAAACCAACATCTCCAAAAAATTGTAAACAAAATTAATGAAGCCAAGTAGCATAGACAATGTGTTAATATATGGAAAAAAAAAAAAAACACTGAGTCACATTTCAACCCTAATCACACCACACTAAAGATGCCCACAGAATGAGGATACATATGATATACATCCAACCATAAACAATAATGAACCTACTAATGAGGAAATTAAGAAAGCTATTAAAAAAATGAGGAATAATAAAGCATCATTTAACATTGAGGCTGAACTTTTGAAAATAATTTACCTTTTCCCCAAATTCAATAACAAGTTTCTCAGTCTTACAAAGGAAGTTGAAAATCAGAAATGCATCCACAAAAAAGTAACCCTCAAGACCCACACACATTCAGAGGTATTTCAATTGGATCTATTATGGTGGAAGTATTAATGTATGAAATTTAGCCTCTCAACATTTTATGTCAACTCCTCACAACCAAGTTTGGTTTTCTTTCTGGTAAAGGATGTAATGATGGCATATATATCATTAAACAACTCCAGGATACCTCTCCAATAAAAAATTTTGTACTTGTTATGTTGTACTATGTACCCTAAATTCATCATAAAAATTCAAGATGTAGATTAAGTAAATACCAACCACTTCAAATACTTTGGTGTATGGATCACTTATAACATATTTAACATAGGAGATAAGTGAACATAGAATGGGGTGCACTTTTGCCCAACACCATAAATCACTACAAAACATTAACTTGAAAACTCAAGTCATGTTCTTAAATAGCCTCATGAAATTAAGACTTTCAAGTGATCAATGACTCAAAAATGACTTTGAGCGAATGAAACCTGGAGGTTTTAGCAAGGGCCACCCCTCATTGAACCAAGTGGACGGGCACTACAGAATCACAAAGAGTACTTTCAACAATAGCCCATGTAACTCAATGAAAAAATAACCATATAATCAAAAGATTGATGTTCCACACTACATCAAACAAAAGGTTAGGAGGGAATTCTCCATCAAAAAGAAAGAGAACAGCTACCGGACTTGAGAAACCTATTTTCCTTAAAGGTTGTTTTTATAAATTTCAACCAACATTAGCACTAGCTGCTCTGTCAATGAATGCAGAATGTTTCCTTATAAGGAAATTGCTATTACCATTAATATGATCAAAAAGAGGAGATCAAGAGCATGTGCATATTTTGCACCTCTTTAAAAAGCACTCCTTCTCAATTGACAACTCTATACTAGATAATGTTTCAGCCAAAACACTGGGTAAAAATCAAAGTAAGGTTTATGATGAGGACAATGTGAAAATATTAACCATCAAATGAGACCTTACTAAGAACTTATTCAGAGGAACACTATCACAAAATCGAAACTATGTACCTAAAGATGGTCATCAGACAGGTGACCAATCTGGCAGCAAACCTCTTTGACAGTTTAAAACTGATAAAGTTTAACTATAGTAAATTCAACCATATTAATAAGAAACTGACTTTTCATATTCATGGAAATGTCACTATAGTTCCAGCATTTACTGGCCAAGAAGTTACACTATTTACATTATTCGGACTATTGTCCTCATCTTTGCCACCATATTTCTTACGTTTCGCCCGTTGTACACACCGGCCTTCTTCAGGTGGTTGGAATGTCGAACTGAACCATTTATTTCGCTCACTGGGGTAAACTCTTCTAGTTCCATGTGCCGGATGACAGTTATCAGTTATCTTCTGTAATTTCCTTCCCCAAGTTCTCCACCACCTTAACCAGGTATTGAACTCACACTCTTTGAGTCCTGTCACTGGATCTAACACCTTTATCCACTGTGCCATGTGTCAGAACACATATACCAATACCTCATCTCAAAAATATAGACAGATGCCAAGAAGTTAGTCTTCAAAGTTTTGCCTTTCACCATCCAGTTCTTTTAATAAATGTTGAGACTAACAGAAAAAGACATTGAAAGAATATTTACAGATTCACATTTAAATTAAAAGAATCATAGTTGCTTAAAAAATATCAAAGGCTGAAAGAAATTGAAGATATAAATAGTCATTTTTGAATTTTTCAAACAATAGATTGCAAAGTTGGATTGAAGCATGGCATCTTCATATTCAACACAGTGGGGTAATGAATAGCTGCTCAGATTGACGAATCAGAGAGCTGAGTTCAAATCCATTACATTCACTTACGTGATAATACCCTTGGGAAAGGTATGAATTCTCTTCTCCTCCCCAGCTATGGGTAAATAGCAGGACAGACCAAGTTCTATAGCCTTGGATGGCAACTGGTCTACCACAGAAACAAATGGCAACCTACTGCAGGAAAAAATCTGCCTTGTCAGTCTTGTATCGAAAGATACATGATTACCTAAGCATGTATCACGCATGGCACATAACTGATTGACTGATAATTTCTTCTAATCATTAAACATGCTCCAAAACATCATCTGATGCCATTTAATATTGAAACTAAATATCAGTGAAAAAGTTTGGAGCTGTGTAATAAAGTAGGAACAATTAAAATTAATATCTGTAGGAAAAAGCAAATTATAGAATGCTTGGTATCTGTTAAGTTCTTGTTTTGTTTATACAAGTTCATTTATTCATTTGGTATCTATATAAATTGTTTTCAAGTGTACCTTTCATTGCTTGTCCTCAGTTATTACAGTACAAATTGTTTTCTTTTATTGATAAGGCTAAAGAGAAATACTTTAATCTGGTTGTAACAATTGGTTGAAATCATTTTACATTACCTAAGTCCAGTCCTCTCCAAACAAATTTAACATCACAATCGTAATGCTAAAGGCCAAATGTTAGTGCAGTAAAAAAATCTTTTTTTTTTTTTTAAGTTACACCTTATCTTGAAAGTTGTTAATGTAAGAATCAGCATGGCTGCAATGATTTCCCCACAAATAAAATACTTAACCAGGAAGTTTTAAATTATCAAGAACACTTAAACATATAATGAGAAAACACTACTTTCTATAAATTTTTAGCTTCTTCAACTGAACATTCATGAACAGGTTTCAGTATGACTTCCTGAATTTTCTTACAAGGGCAAAGGATCAACTTTAAAGTTCATATTTTCTATTTTGCAGGCATTAGAAGAGGAAGAAACTATGACACCAGAACAATTGGCAATTAAAAATGTTGGAAAACAGGTGAAAATTTTAAGTCATCTTTATAAAAAGTCTCATTTTGTATACAGGTTAACTGCAAAGTAATTTGAAAGTTACTTAAACATTTTCATAACTAACATATATCTTGTAACTTAAATAATTCTTTAAAATTGAAAACAAAATTTGTACAATTTATAAAAACATCATTTAAGCAGATATATTTAATGCTTTGCTTAACATTACTATAATATTTATTCTGAAAGTGTTTCAGTTCATCCATTAGGGCAAATGCACCATGCCCATACTTAAAAACATTTTTCATGTTGATGTGCATATATTCTGTTATTTCCTTGTATATTCTAAACCTTATTTTCTTTACTTTAGGATCCTAAACGTCATCTGGAAGAACACGTTGATGTACTGATGACTAAGAATATTGTACAGTGCTTAGGAGCCATGTTACACACAGTTGTGTTCAAATAGTATTTGTTTTTAAACCATTTATATCTTGCAAATAAATAATACTTACTGTTTATATTTCATGAGGGTTCCTGCTATTTTTTTTCATTAAAAAAAAAAAAAATATCTGGACTTGATTTCTTAAATGTTTTTTTTTTTTTTTTTGACATGTTCCAAACATTATCAAATGTTAAAAAAAAGCAACCAATAAATAACTAAATATTTAATTCAAGAATATGATTTTGAATGATTTAAATAGTGTACAGAATTTACTGTGCATTTCCAGCATGACAATTGTAGCAATTACTGCAGTGATTTTTCAAGCATAGATTTCAGTTTGTTGATTTCTGCTTCATATTGTTTATCAACTTGAGCACTTTTCTTGTATTGCTCAGTCATAAAATCCACCCATTCTTGCCCACGTTTTGTCCTTCTGTCTTGCAAATAGTCAGTCTGTTATGGAAAGAAATAAAGCTGATAAAGAACTAAAAATGCTATCAGAGATACTGAAATTTGTGAGTATCCAAGGAAACTGAATTACCTAAAAATATGAGTCTATGATTAGCTTCAAGCACTGCAATTTCTTACAAGTCACAGAAAATGTTCAATTAATACAGCTTTTACAAATATCAGAGGAATTAAAGTTATTATCAGCGTAAAGCAGTGGAGCTATCTGATCTGCTGTGTCATTTGAGTTATATTTTTGTTTATATCAAAAAATAAAAATATGTCAATCAAATTATTAAACTTGTGAAAGGATGCTTTAAAAGTGTGTTACCACTGACAACATTGTATGCCATAGAGGACTAATGAATTAAGAATTTTATGGCAATTATGAAAAATTACTTTTCAGTAAAAAGAATTTAAAGCATAATTTTACACAATTTTAATTAAAAAGTGACTTACCTGAGTCTTATGCTCTTTGTTACAAATCCTTTCACATATCTGAGTTGCCATGTTAGCTGTAAAATGCCAATAATTGATATAAGGTGTCTGTTTTAAAATTAGTTGTATCATCAGTTGGTGTTACATGATAAATGTGTATATAGTTTTTACAACAAATAAAATTACTTACTCTTAGCAGCAATGTCAGTCAAGCAGATCTCAGCCTGTTGTAAACAGCCTGGAAGGTATAAATCCTGCATTAAGGAAACTTCTTCACTGCATTTCTTAAGAGTGGTTATGTCACGATGACCTCTTTTGTCCTTTATAAAAAGTACAGATGGACTTAACTAAGCAGAATATAATCAATCTCATAGCTGTTTTCTTTTTTTAAATTAAAAACAAAGAAATAAAAAAATACATAAGCGACAAGGCAATCAAAGATTTGATTAGGTGATAATTACATAACGTGGATTAAACTGGTATACTTGATATCTAAAATAAAATACCAGTTTCTCTTTAGTACACAATTGTCTTGTTGATATCTTTGACTTGCTGCAATCAAAATTTATTGTAAGAATCATTTAATGGTTCACAACTTTTGCTTCCTGAATTTTTCTTTTGGGGTTGAGGTAGTTCCATTTTTTCCCCACTAACATCAGGTTAGTATTTGAGCCCAAATAAATAAATAAAAAAAGCCAGAATTTAGAATGCTAATTATTAAGGCAAGCAAGCCCTTTCCACTTGTAGAGTTGGTACACATTCTCCCTACCCCTGTCCCTTATATTTTGGACTTGTATCAAAATGAAATATAATGATGTCGTCATAAATGTAGCTTAAGTTGGCTTAGACTATGTTTCATGAACTAGAGACCCTATTCCAATATACAGAGACTATGGATTTCATTCATAATACATATTATTACAATCCTGTAATTAGGATAATTGTTTTCTTAGAAACACGGTTTGCTAAGAATATCATGATTCAGAGGTATCCACAAGTTAGCTTTTTAAGAAATTTGGAAAACAAATTTTAAAATCAAATCTACAATTTAAAAAAAATTGTTGCTTATTCAAGGTTAATGTGGCTTGATATATGTGATTATTTTATTGTCCACAATAACCTCTCATATTTTTTTTTTGCTTATTTTATGTCTCTTGTAATGAAAAAAATCTTTTTTATAAAGCCTAAAGTGCTTTTATTGCTGCAAATCCATCAGGTATGGCTTTAAACATTTTTCTGTGTATGGTGAAACCTATAAGCAACACCAGCTGAATTAACAAAGTCATGCATGTAATAAAAAGACAGGTTATCAAGTTCTTCAGTTAATTGTTAATACATTAAAAAAAAAAAAAAAAAAAAATCAAAATTGCTCATGTCAGAGCAGAATATGGATGTAAAGTTTATTATTTTTTTAAACAATTCATGTGACCCAATGATGAATGATTTAGATTTTATAAACATTCTAGAATTCTTTCTAAAGAAACATAAGAGGAAAAAAAAAAAAAATTTCAAAATGTAAAGAGCAGTTGCTTTTTATTTCAGAGAGTAAAAAATAACATGGAATCGTTTGTTGCTTGCCTTGAGCCTACTATTTCCTCAGGATTCTTCAAACTTGTAGTTTCCAAGAGTAATTTACAATGAGGTTAAATTTAACTTTATTGGATTTGGGTTGTTAAAATAGAATCTTTGTCATTAGATGTATTTTTTCTGCACGAAGAAATTCAGTAATCCATCTTTGCTTCATACTACATGCCATTTTACCAGACTTGTCCATAATAAGGCAAAGATATTAATAGGAAGATTCAACCTTATTGTCATACAACCATGATAAAATAGGAGGCATTACTTTTAGAGCAACCCACAGGTCTTACACTTTAAATATGAGAGATAAAAAAGGTTAAACAAATCAAAAAAAATCTTAACCTCAAATTCCCTGAGAAAATAATTTATGTCTCCTTGTAAAACAGGACGATGATCAAAAAGACGACTCTCCAATTCACCCAGATCTGAAATATAATACACAAGGTAGATTGGAGGAAACTGGATTTTCTTCAGAAGAAAACATTTAAATATATGAAAAAGAATTTAAAGAAATAGGACTTCCACATAGAAACTGCCCCACTCACCTTTTTAAAATTTTCTTACCCACCATATTTCTTCTCTTGCCTTTGATAGGAGTTTAAATCTACCAGATACTGTAAAAATTAGTTAACAATTTAGCATTAACAATTTAGTGTTAATCTGGTTTATTTTTATTTGAAGGAATTGGTTAGTTTAATGATAATGTTTTTCTATACTTCTCCAAAAATTTCCAATGGAAATAATGTAACTTCATGCTACATAAATCTGTTCTACTTTTTCATTATTCTTGAATTCCTTTATGATTTCTGGAGTTAATTTTGCATGAAGTAGAAAGTGAAATTATTTCTTTGGTAAAGTTTGCAGGTGCAAGGTTACTGTCTTGAAGCAAGCCAACATTTTCACAGTAGGCTTTTGGTATAAGATAGGATGTTGATAAACAGTAACAAATAAACTAGTTTATTTTATTAGAAAATTAAGGAGAACATCTATCATGGTTTTTCTTACACTCAAAATGTAAGATTTTGTATCATCTATATTTTTCAATAATCTTTAGCATAAATGGAGAATTTGCTAATTTGCTTCTCTTTTTCTCCACTTTTACTGCTACTGACTTCAAATCCTTCTATTATGTGGAACATGTTGAATGATGCTTCAAATATAGAATATGATTTTATTTTTAACAAGCATTTTTTTTTAGGTTTACAGCATTTATTTTAAAGATCGAAACTGAACATTGACATTCTAACTCCTTAATACCATTGCTAGTAAAAAAAACAAAAAAAAAAACAACAGGTTCAATCTTATCTGCAAAATCTGTTATGCCTTTATCAATAAGGAATGTGTATATTATCTAATTATCAATGAGGTATTGATTCCAATGGATATAAGATAAATTTTGTAAATTCCATTTTTAAGTTTTACAATATGGACTATTGGAATGCCTAGACCTGAAAGAAACCATTATTCACTCCATTGCCAAATATTGAAGTTCATTTCTTAAATATTTCATTGCAATGCAAAGTGTTCCTGGAAAATTCCAAAGTTGCTGAGCATTCAAAATGAGAATTCTGCATAACACCAAAAGGAAAGTACTATGGATTTGAAAAGATGACTAATCTTTGGCACAGATTCTTTTGTTTTGCTGAGTCTCCAGAAATTCTTGTTCCATCAATTCCTTTAGATATTAATCTATTCAGAACTAACATATTTCTATAAGAAGCAAAAATACTTTGGAGCAGGGAATGTGCAAGAAAACGTGGGGGGAGGGGGACAACTTCTTGCAACACAAAAACGATTGCCTTCTCTTCCGAACGAACACTTTACGACGACAAACAAGCAAAACAGCACCCAAGACTGCTGCTGACAGATGATCGACCGTAACGACTTTTGTCGCCCAAGAAAAGACTCCAAACAACTCACGCGTCTTCTTGTAGTCCTTGGTCAAGTCCATTATGGTACTCCGAGGTGTGCCCGGCGACAACACACATACACACACAGTTCGAGGACGTTTCCGCACATGCTCGTTACAGGGAACATACCTATCTTTTGGATTGCTCCAATTTGTCAGATAAGCAGTTTTTAATTTGGTTGCTACATTTTGGCAAAGAAGTCTATTTTTTCTCTGACACATCTGCATAATCTTTTAATGTGATAAACCTTTGAAAAGATTTATTCTCTTCAGAACATCAAAATAAATTAACTGCAGCATATGCCCAATCTCTGAATGACTAGTGATATTACAAAATGGTACATTAAGCTATAGGAATTCCAACAAGCAACTCTATCCATTGCATAGAGACCATTATAAGTACTATGTTTAAATTTGCTTTCCTATCCTATGTTTCATTTTTTCTTCTTCAACAGAATTCAAATGGGCATGGATTTACAAAAAATATATCATCAGTACAGTAAAAAAACAGTTCATTTTACAGTCATATTGTCCAATATTAAAACATGCATTCACTTCTTTAATAGTATCTGTAAAATAATAAAAAAATCTGATCTCGAAAAAAACATCTTAATCCATCTTTTAGTAAGATAATCATTTCCAGTGTAGT